AGCCCCCCCTCGGCAATGGCCCCAGCCCCAGCTCAGCCCGAGCATCCCGGAGACTGGGAAGGGTGCGTGCATCCTGCTCACGCCTTCCCTGCTCTGCCATGCCCTGAGCCCGCCCGGCACCGCTGCCGTGCCCTGAGCCCACCCGGCACCGCAGACGCGCCGCAGCAGCAGAGCCCACAGGCTCTGTGGGACACCCCTGGTGCCCATCACCCTGGCACATGGCCTGCCCGTCACTCCGAAGGAGGATGGCCCGCGTTCAGTCCCGTGCTGGGAGCAGAGCTGGGTCCTGGGGAACGCAACCAGGGCACAAATCAGGCCAACGGCTTTTTTTAATTCTCAATGAGGCTCAGCCCATGCAGGGCAGGGATGGAGGAGGGCTCCCCGCATTCCTGGAGGGTGCAGGGGACCATGGTGGGCTGAGGAAGAGGAGGGTGGCACCCGCCAGATGCGTGTTGGAGGCAGGAGTGCGTGTTGGAGGCAGGAGAGTGGGGCGTGTTGTGGGGCACGGGGAAGGCGCAGAGCTGTGCCTTGGCACTGCAGGCAGCCTGGGGCTCCCGGTGTCCTGTATTTCCCCCTGTAGGCTCCGGCTCTGGAGGGAGAGGCCATACTCCTTCCCTTGCTCTCGGGGGGCTGGGTTGGGAGGAAGGCTGGGAGCAAGGAGCCGTACTGGCACCCTGCAGCCAGACACTGGCTGGCACCACCGAAGGGATGTGCAAGAAAATCAGGGGCACATCGGTGCCAGAGGGCCCTGGGGAGGTATCCAGGGAGAAGGCACCCACAGACCTTTTTTTCCCCACTCCATCCCATGCAAATCTTTCCCACCCCCGTGGGTCTCAGCCCGGGTGCGAGCACCTCTTGGGGCACCCATTCAGCACGGTGTCCCAAAACAGCTCGGGGTGCCTATAGCCCTGACACCTGCACCCACGGGCTCGCCCCGCTGGGCCGGGAGAGATGGGATGTTGGGGACTGCTGGCATATCCCTGACATAGAAGCCAGCCATCCCCACACCACGAGGGATGCCCTGGCCTTGGCCAGCCCCGGTGCTGAGCGCAACGGGTGCAAGGCATCCAGGGCACAGCATGGCCACCACTGCTGTGGTGTCCCTGGAAAAAAACAAGCCTTTGCATCCCAGCAGGGTGGCACAGAAAGGCAGGGACCCCCCCATCGCTCCTGCTCCCCACCACAGGATGGGTGCCACGGTGGTGGTGGAAAGCCAGTCCTGGTCCCCTTGCATCCTCCTGCTCATCAGCAGAGGGACGTTGTGTGCATGGCGGCCTGGCCACCCTCCACCTCCTCCAGCTCGTACTCCTCGGCGTCAGAGAGGGGCAGCCCGTTGGCGCTGGGCATGGGCTCGCACTCAGTGCTGCGGGTGGTGGTGCGGCTGACACTGGGCGAGTATTTCTGTGACCGTGGCGGGCGGTGGCTGGGGTGGCACATCACCTCCTTGAACATCTCCCGGAAGCGGGTGGACATCAGGTTGTAGAGGATGGGGTTGGCAGCCGAGCTCAGGTAGAAGAAGACGCCCGAGATGATGTGGACGTACTGGAACATGTGGAGCATGTGGCTGGTCCAGGTGGAAACGAAGCTCCAGACGAGGCGGTCGGTGTGGAAGGGGGCCCAGCAGATCCCGAACACCACCACCAGCACGACTGTGGGGAGGCAAGGAGCTGGTGTTACTTGGGGGATGGGGCTCACACCTCTGGGGACCTCCAATCCCTGGCCAAGCACTGCCCCGTTTTGGCTTCGGCCACAGCAAAGAACACCCAAAAAAGCACGGGAGAGGGGAAAGGGGAGAGCGAAAGGGCCCCCCGATGCCTTGTTGACCTGCCATGGAGGGGCTGGACATCTGGCCAGGATCTCCCTCCCTCCGTCTCCTGCCAGGGCTGCTCCAGGCGCTGCTGTGCCATGCGTCTCTGCTCCCCATCGGCAGGCAGCCGG